CATTTTTTTTCCCGATTATTATTATTCCAATTATTTTTTAACCTGTCAATCACTATTTCTCATTTTGCTTGTAAAAAGACTACCCATCATGAAATACTTCTCAGACCAATCCAGTTGAGAATACTATACACGTCATCATCAATAATAAGCCATATCTGTGTCCCACTAATGTCCTGCCTCTCTATTTGTTCTCTTGCTATCTTTCTCTATACTCTTCTGTTCACTCCCCCCACCCCATTCCACACTGTCTTATGTTCGTTAAGTATTTTCTTTTTTAGGTTTTTTACTACAGAGCACGTGCGTCCACCAGAGAGACAGAGACAGAGACAGAGAGCGAGAAATCACCCCCCAGGGGGGGATGGTCACGCTGCAATCCCTTCTCCTCCATTCTCCTCTTGGGATCTTGGGCACGCATACACATGCGCCCGGTGTGAGTTTAAGCCACTGGGTCTGAGACTCGAACTGCGGTCAACTACATGGGAGTCCAGCAACATAGCCATTACACTAACTGCTGGTCCCCTCCTCGTTAAGTATTTTCACTGCTTTTATGTCCTCCAATATTTTGTTCTCTACCATAGAGTATGGATAGTCGGTATATATTAAGTGGATACATACAGTATCTTTCTTTCATGGCCTGGCTTACTTCATAATCAAGACAAAATAGGAGTAGAAAGGACATTCCTCAATACAATAAAAGCTACATATAATAGATTCATTGCTAACATCATTCTGAATAGGGAAAAGTTGAAAGATTTTTCACTTAAAACCTGGAACAAGACAAATCTGCCCCTTTCTCCCCTCTTTTTCAACATAATGCTGTAAGTCCCAACCAATGCATTTAGACAAGAGAGCAAAATAAAAGTCATTCAGATAGGACCAGAAGAGGCTAACCTGTCCCTATTTGTAGATAATATGATTATATAGAGAAAAATCCAAAGTAATCCATGAAAAAACTCCTAGAAGTGATAAATAAATTCAGAACATTTACATTGTCAGCTCCAAAAGGCAATCTTTCTGAATAGTTTAAGGCATAAGAATTTAGGTAGGATAGATTTCCCAGACTCAACAAATTTAGGTTGATTATTTTAAGTATGCATTTATTTATCACATTTATTTTAGGTTAAGAATTCTTTTTTTTTTTTTTGAGAAATTTTTGCTATAGGGCACGTGCGCTCACCAGACAGACAGAGAGAGACATAGAGACAGAAAGAGAGAAATCACCCCCTAGGGGGGATGGTCACACCGCAATCCTTCTCCTCCATTCTCCTCTCAGGATCTTGGGCACGCACGTACATGCGCCGGGTGTGAGTTTTAAGCCACCGGGTCCGGGACGCGAACCACGGTCGACTATGTGGTTGTCCAGCGACATAGCCATTATGCTAACTGCTGGTTCCCAGGTTAAGAATTCTTAATCAGAAAATTGAAAATCTGAAATTCTACAACATAAAAATTTTTTGAGTACTGACATGGTACCACAAGTGGAAAATTCCACACCTTACCTCATGTGATGGGTTGCAGTCAAAACTTTGCAATGTGCAAACACTGTGTAAAAATACCTTCAGGCTGTGTGTGTAAAATATATAGGAAACATAAGTGAATTATGTTTTTAGAATTGAGTCTCATGGCTGAGGCAGCTGATTATGTATAGGCAAATGTTTCAAAATCCAAAAATTCAAAATTGAAACACTCCTTGTCCCTAACATTTTGGATAAGACATACTCAAGTATATTATGTAGAAAAACTCAAAAAGAAACTAATAATTCTTTTTTATTTTTAGGCTTTTGCTATAGGGCACATGTGTTCACCAGAGAGAGAGAGAGAGAGAGAGAGAGAGGGAAAGCGAGAAATTACCCCTCAGAGGAGATGCACACACCACAGTCCCTTCTCCTCCTTTCTCCTCACAATCCCTTCTCCTCCACTCTCCATTCAGGATTTTGGGCACACACACACATGCATCCTATGTGACTTCCAAGTTGCTGGGTCTGAGACTCAAACTGCGATTGGGAGGCAATGCCTTCACCACGATATAACCTGCTGGCCCCAACAAATAATAATTCATATCTTGATTTGTACAGAGAGAGTCTGGCATTATAACTGAAGGGCATAGAATTTGGAAGCACAAAGTCCTTGTCTGGAACTCTGGCCCTGGTATCAAGCGATGAAAAAACCTTCAACAAAATAATTAACCTTTCTAGGTCTTAGTACACATTTGTAAATATCTCACAGTTAAAATGAAGTGATGCACAGAAAATGTTAAATACTATGTCTGGCACTTAATAAATACTCAAAAAACACTCTGTTACCATTGTTATTTTTCCCCTCAGGCTATTGTCATCTGAATTATTCAAACGAAACACTATTTTCCCAGACTTATTTACTAGATAGAAAATATTCAACATTAACTCTACTGTTTAAGCAAACCTAAATATACTTCTGTCTTTACTCTGTGATCTCCATTCTATTAATATGCTGACCAAGCCTGAATCAAAAAGAGATTGGAGGAAAAAAAAATAATAACCAAAAAAATAACAAACAACCCACTGGGCCAGCATGGTAGTTAAGGCAGCTGGATCCCACATGGCAGACTGATCAGTTTGAGTCTCAGATGTGGTGACTTGAAAATCACACTGGGCATATTATGTATATGCTTAAAATCCTGAGTAGAGAATGGAGGAGAGGGGGTTGCAGGGTGGCCATCCCTTCCAGAGAATGATTTCTCACTCTTTGCTACTTTCTCTCTCTCTCTTCCTCTATCTCTATCCCTCTCTCTCCTCCCCTGGTAAGCACACACACCCTGTAGCCAACTAAAGAAAATTCTGTCCTTATGGTCGATGCATCTGTCACCCTGTTACAAATTGTCTTCCATGCTGGGCAAGGCAATTGTTCACCAAGAAAATGGTATGATGTCTTTCGCTGTAGGTAAGTTTTGTTTATAATCTGTTATTTATAAATTCTCTGAGATGAGGCTTCTTTACTAAGTCCATCAAGGACAATAAGCATGACTTGTTTCTCATCCTGCAGCTAGTGCCTGCCGTATCATAGGCACGTAGCAAATCCTGAATTCGATTCACTTTGAAGCAGTGGTGTGTCTCTTTGGTTCTGGTTTAGATCCATAGCCAGACCATACCTGACAGATGAGCACTTCCATCACCCACAGTGAATGACTTTCTACTTTACCAAGTCTCAACCAGGTAAAGGTATTGGGAGGAAATTAGGCATGTCACTTACTGCACCTGAAGATCTTGGTTTGCTGTTGTGTGTGTGTGTACACACATGTATCATATATATATATATTAGAGTTTTTTGCTCTAGGGCACATGCACTTGCCAGAGACACAGAGAGAGATAGAGACAGAAAGCGAGAAATCACCCCTCAGGGGGAGATGGGCATACCACAGTCCCTTCTCCTCCATTCTTCTCTCGGCTTATTTGGCATGCATGCACACACACCTGGTGTGACTTTTAAGTCACTGGGTCCAGGACTCGAACTGTGGTTGACTATGTGAGAGTCCAGTGATGTAACCGCTACACCATCTGCTGGTCCCTGCTGTTGTACTTTTGTGGTATTTCTGGGTTTTTGCATACCCAAATGTCCCTAGAATACATCAGGTTACTGACAAATAAAATCATACTATCGTCAATACCCAAATGCATTACTCTTGCTTACACTTGTTCATGCAGAACTCCAGCCCTTGCCAAATTTCCCCTGGCCCCAGCTCTGCCCACCAGATTTTCTGTGAATTATCCAGTGTGTTCCTCCTGTGCTCTCCTGGTCTCTGCTATCTCTCTTAAGCCAAGGCTCCCCTCACTGGCTCCAACTGCTTGTAAGAGTCTTTTCATTACCACAGCAGACCAGATACCACAATGCCAAAGCCAAGAGTGCTGTTTCCCAAAGCTGTCGTGCCCACTGCCCCAGGAGGGGTCAGAGCAGTGCTGGGCTCCATTCCAATGGGAGAATTCACCTCTCATATCTCTGCACAGAGAGCTGCTACCTGTGCCTGTGGGAGAGCTGCCCATGTCCGCAGCCACGTATGGGGCCTCAGGCGTAAACTCCTCAACACCTCTCTGCAGTCCTCTCTGTCCAGTTTGAGCAGCTCTAGGAGTAGATGTTTCTTCATGCCTCCCACTACCTTCATTATTTCAGCATGCTGAAAACTGAGCCAGCACTTCTCTCACTTCTACCACAACACCAAACTCAGTTCAGACGAATACACAGTGATAGTCAAGTTCATTCAGTCCAATCCCATGTCCTTCTCTGGACTAAGCTGTGGCATCTTACCACACATTTCAAGACAAAGGGAAGCTTGTTCACTTATTTGTTTTGTGTAATGCTATTCTCGATGCATACTTGTCCTCCATAACCCTGTTTCTGTCTGACTGTTCCATCTTGATTTGCTCGATTGTAGGTGTGAGGTCAATAACCAGGAAACTCAGATTCTGGCTCTAGTTCCTCCTGAAGGCATCTGGGTGATACTGAAGTGTACAATGAACTGATTTAGACCTTTGTCACAGTCAAGAAAGTAAGTCCATCAGTTCACACAGAGTCTAAAATCTCTCTCAGGTCTAATACCGAATGAGGTTTGGCAAAAATCAGAGTCGTCTCCTTTGCAGTGGCTCTCAGGGGTGTTTGGAGTGTTCTTGGTAATGGTAGCATGGTATGTGTAGAGTGTCGGTTACTGTCTTTGTTCTAAACGTGTTTCTCTCCTTTCATAACCTGTGAGGTATAACCTGTGAGGAACGCTATGCCCTAACTTATTATTAAAAAATCAATATAAGTTTTTCAGTATAGGGAGGATTCTGCTGAACTTAAGGGATGAACATAAAACACCTAAGAAGAAAAAGAATCCATGTGAAGTGCCTCTCTGGATGTATTATTCCAGCCCTGCATTGAACAGGAGGCTCACCCTCGTTTCCCATAGATACCAGGGCCAAGGTACTGTATGACATAAACGTATTCACAGGCAACCAAAAACTGATGATGAGTATGTAGAAATGGCTCTCTCATGTTGGCAGCCATAACATTTTATTTTGGAGTTTATTTAAACAGCCTCAGCAGCTTGGATCAGTTGAGAGGTGCCTAAGACCTTGAGTCGCGGGTGTGTTTATACTCTCTCATATGTCCGGGTGCAGGTTACACTGTTCACCTCACTTTCCTAGAAGGTCAAAGGATAAGATAGTTTAGTAATTGTTGACGAAACTGATATTTAGAAAAAAAAAAAAAAGCACGATAAGCACTATCCATCCATGTTTTGAAAATCTTGAATCTATATAGACCATGGATAGCACCTATTTGTTAGCTGATTTTGCAATATATGTAGATATAAATTGCCATATATACTATTGAAATGGCATGTGTATATGGTATACATAACATATATTCACTTGTGTATAGGGATTAAAAAAGAAAACCCTTTAGTTCGGGGTTTGAAATCCATTAAAGTATTTCAAATACCTACATTGGAGCATTGTTCATTTTACATATAATGTACATTTTTTTCAAATAATGCTACTAACTCACATTAACATACTACTTTAGATTTTTTAGAGCACTAACACATATACAAGATATTTAATTCTCTCAGAAAATCTTCTGTGAGGACATTGTCTCCATTTTGAAGGCAAGGCATCTGAATCTTAAAGAGAGTGAATGACTTGTACAAAGTCACATAGTACTGAATGGCAGAGATGGAAATCCACATCCTTGGATTCCGAGTCTAGTTTTCCTCCTAATGAACTGTTCACTTATTGGCTATTTATTTTCCTTCATGTAGATTGGCTGATGTCATTATGAGAAGCAATGAAGTCAGCCATCTTTAGTCCTCTTCTCCTGACTTTATAAGGAATAAAATATATTCTTCATTACAGAAAGAAAAAAGAAAAAAACCTATATTAAGAATTGAGAAGGGACCGGCAGGGGGCATAGTGGTTAAGGTACTGGATTCCCACATGGCCAACCGTGATTGGCCAATCGAATCTCAGACCTGGGGGCTTGCTTTCTCACTTTCCCTGTTTCTTTCTGTCTTTCTCTGATGAGCATGAAAAGAAATAATAACAATAATAATGAATAAAACTAAATACATATGTTAAAAAAAGAATTGAGGATAGACTTGCTTTTTCTGCCACATAATCTGCCATAGTCCCTTAAAACAATTTTATATTATGCTCCAAATTAAGTTTTCATTCACTTTGGCATGGGTGAGGTTCTGGGAGGAGAATTATTGAAACTCTTCTTCTACTCTGTAGAAATGGGAAGGATGGCTGGGCAAGCCACTCTGAGAGAGAGAGCAGAATGGACTCAAACAACCACCATTACATTGTCTAGCTGTGTGTTCTTAGATAAGTCAGTGTTTGAATCTCAGATTCCTCACCTGCTAAATAGACTAATCTTACCTCCCAAGGCCATTGTGAAACTTGGGTAAGTAACATGCGAAAATAGAAGGATATAGTTGTAATATGCTTGTATGAACTCATCCACACACCAAAAAGACACCGCTTAAGCTTCATGCCCCGATATTAAGCTTTCTTTTCATGCTTTTGTTCGGCGTCAAGTTCAAACAGTAAGAAATTAATCTTAGTATGGAGTGGAAGATTAGCCTCAACCCTCAATTCCTGCTAAAATTGTTACTTCACAAATACAAACTTGCTTTCCTTTATAAATAAGTTAAAAAATTAAGCTACAGATTCTAAAAATTCTCTTTAGTTTTGTAGTTTTTCCATCCATATACATTTTATAGTAATTAATCTGCCCACGTTTTTCCTCAGCTCTTATAAAGGAAGAGAAAATGAGAGGCCAGGAAGTGACACTATGATAATGTAACTGGACCCACACGAGAAAGGTCCTGGATTCGCTTTCCTGGAACTCCCTAAACATGCCAGACATGTGCATGTGAATCCGGCTGGCTGAGACTGAGGTTGGATCAGGACGTGAAGTCCTTACTGTAGGTACTTGCCCCACCCCCAACCCCACTCCCAATAAAATGAACTAATTAACTTTTGTTAAAAAGTAAAAGGCGGACCAGCCAGGTGGCATCATGGTTAAGGTGGCTGGATTCCACATGGCTGAATGCATGGTTTGAGTCCTGAACTGGAGGCTTGAGAAACAAACAGGTGGCATGCATACGTGCATGCCCAAATCCTGAGAGGAGAGTGGAGAAGGGACGGCAGTGTGGTCATTCCCCTTAGGGATCCTTACTCACTCTCTTTCTCTCTCTCCCATGAGTGCACACACTCTATAGCAAACTAAAAACAAACAAACACACACCAAAACAAACAAAAAAAAAAACTAAGAGGAAAAAGTGCATTATTTTTATATTACATGCTGCATTACGTGTTGTTACTTTTATATTATATGAGAATCAGTTCACTCACCACCACCATTTTCCCATCCACCAATTTTCTCCTGACGGTGGTCTTCTTGCCATCCCAGTCCTGAACTTGAATCAAACAGTCATCATCTAAGGTCACCATACTCTGAAACACAGATAAAAACCAAGGATCAGACACACTGTCCCATTTGAACACAATTTTATCAGGTGCCAAATTCTTTTTAGTTGTTGTCATATTCTTAGGTAGTTTTAGGATGGAATTTCCAATCCCATTTATATTAAGATTTTTTGTTAACAGTAAATTTGTTGGCTGATTCTGCTAGGGAGAAAATCTTACAATAGTAAATACATAATATTATTTTGAAGCATAAACGAACATTTCTTTTTATCTTTTGCTGTATAAGCAACATGTTATCTTTTTTGCATAAAGAATCACAAGGAAATTTTTTTATTCCGTATATCTGACTCTTAAAAAATTATTATTATTATTATTACTTACTATCATTTATACATTCAATTGCTATATATCATTTAGATTGTAAAGAGATTTTACCCGACATGATATATGCCACACATCAGGCAAGTTGGGAATACTGTACAACATTTTAACTTTAAAAATCATGTGAAAGTAACTCAAACTACTAGTGTAAGAGCTTTCTTAAAGGTGGGGGCCAGAGGGTAACATAGCAGTAAAATGTGATGTCCTGTGACAATGACCCACATGGGAAGGTTCTGGGTTTGCGTCCAGAGACCTTCCTGAGTATGCCAAGCAAGTTTGTGCCCATGATCGGGGCTAGCTGAAGCTAGCAGTGAATCACAGCTTCAAGACCCTGCTGTGCATATTGTTTCTCTGGCTCTCTGTGTATCTCACTCACGGAAGAAAGAAATAAGCTTAAAACATCGTTTACATAAAGAAGAAGAAAAATCCCCTTTCCTCTTTTTCCTCAATTGTATTTTCCAGCTATTTAATTCTACTGTATTTTTTTAATTTGGCACAGACATTTCTACTAAACATTTTAAGTCAATAGTCTCCTTTCATTTTATACTGTATGAGAATTTCAAGTCTTATTTATTTAGTAATTGTCAGCTAATGTGGTATGAAAGTTTTTAAAAATAAAGATATTACCCTCCATATAGTTTACCAATCCTCTACTGAATTTATTCACTCAAACATCAAATATTTATTAGGCATCTATTAAGGTCAAGCTCTGAGGTCTGTGAAAGACAAGAAATCCTGCTTTTGAGGAGTTTACATGCTAGAAAAAGGAAACAGATAATAAACATGTAAGTTAATTTATGTTTTATAAGTAAATTATATATCCAGTTGGAACCCATGAGATATGGATGAAAATTATATGTGTCCCTTGTATGCTGAGTCAATAAAAAGCCCAGGGTCTCTTTGTCTATATTCCCGCCTGAATAGACCACAAATTCCAGATGGTGCAGCTACAAGTAGTCATACAACTTTTGCCCTGAATCCCGGAGAGATTAAAGGGGCAGACACCCTAGCCACTGTCTGGACACACACATACACACAAACTGCTAGGGAGAAAATCTTACAATAGTAAATACATAATATTATTTTGAAGCATAAACGAACATTTCTTTTTATCTTTTGCTGTATAAGCAACATGTTATCTTTTTTGCATAAAGAATCACAAGGAAATTTTTTTATTCCGTATATCTGACTCTTAAAAAATTATTATTATTATTATTACTTACTATCATTTATACATTCAATTGCTATATATCATTTAGATTGTAAAGAGATTTTACCCGACATGATATATGCCACACATCAGGCAAGTTGGGAATACTGTACAACATTTTAACTTTAAAAATCATGTGAAAGTAACTCAAACTACTAGTGTAAGAGCTTTCTTAAAGGTGGGGGCCAGAGGGTAACATAGCAGTAAAATGTGATGTCCTGTGACAATGACCCACATGGGAAGGTTCTGGGTTTGCGTCCAGAGACCTTCCTGAGTATGCCAAGCAAGTTTGTGCCCATGATCGGGGCTAGCTGAAGCTAGCAGTGAATCACAGCTTCAAGACCCTGCTGTGCATATTGTTTCTCTGGCTCTCTGTGTATCTCACTCACGGAAGAAAGAAATAAGCTTAAAACATCGTTTACATAAAGAAGAAGAAAAATCCCCTTTCCTCTTTTTCCTCAATTGTATTTTCCAGCTATTTAATTCTACTGTATTTTTTTAATTTGGCACAGACATTTCTACTAAACATTTTAAGTCAATAGTCTCCTTTCATTTTATACTGTATGAGAATTTCAAGTCTTATTTATTTAGTAATTGTCAGCTAATGTGGTATGAAAGTTTTTAAAAATAAAGATATTACCCTCCATATAGTTTACCAATCCTCTACTGAATTTATTCACTCAAACATCAAATATTTATTAGGCATCTATTAAGGTCAAGCTCTGAGGTCTGTGAAAGACAAGAAATCCTGCTTTTGAGGAGTTTACATGCTAGAAAAAGGAAACAGATAATAAACATGTAAGTTAATTTATGTTTTATAAGTAAATTATATATCCAGTTGGAACCCATGAGATATGGATGAAAATTATATGTGTCCCTTGTATGCTGAGTCAATAAAAAGCCCAGGGTCTCTTTGTCTATATTCCCGCCTGAATAGACCACAAATTCCAGATGCTGCAGCTACAAGTAGTCATACAACTTTTGCCCTGAATCCCGGAGAGATTAAAGGGGCAGACACCCTAGCCACTGTCTGGACACACACATACACACACACACACACACACACACACACACACACACACACAGAGTTTCCTTAACTCCACACCATATGTAGCATGAGTTAAAAATAAATCCCTATTGTGTTGAGCCACTGAGAACTTGTGATTCACTTGTTATGGTGACATACCTAGCCTATACTAACTAAAACAAATTTTATTCCTTGTAATTCTATGAATGGAAAGTTGTTTCAAAATAGAAAGGGAGAATTTTGTTTCTGAGAAAACTAAAAATCAAGGGAAATAAATCTCAAAATGTGGTCTCCTTAGTATCACATCAGAATCTTTGTTAAAAATGTAATTTTAGGGACCAGCAGTTAGCATAATGGCTATGTTGCTGGACTCCCACGTAGTCGACCACGGTTCGAGTCCCGGACCCGGTGGCTTAAACTCACGCCAGGTGCGTGTGCGTGCGTGCCCAAGATCCCGAGAGGAGGAAGGAGGAGAAGGGATTGCGGTGTGGCCATCCCTCCTGGGGGGTGATTTCTCGCTTCCTGTCTCTGTGTCTCTCTCTGTCTTTCTGGTGAGTGCACGCGCCCTATAGCAAAAAAATCTCTCAAAAAAAAATGTAATTTTCAGGGACCATAACGTGGTGCCATGGTAAAACACACCTTCCATAACACTGACTCACATGAGAAGAATCTAGGTTTGTGCCCAGAGACCTGAGTATACCAGGCATGCATAAGCCTATGATCTGGGGCTGACTGAAGCTGGGGGTGGATTACAATATCAAGAACTTGTTAGAGGCTCTCTCTCTCTGTCTCTCATGCTCATGGAAAAAATAAATTTTTAATGTAATTTTCAGGCATTTTTCACATTCTAAAAGATTTTTATGTATATTAACGTTTGACATCCTTAGACTTAGATAAATATTTATCTAATAAAGACTTACGATATATTTGCAATAATTAATTACTTATGTAGGAAGATTTGTAATTACTATCTTTATAAATTTTTTCTAGAATGTTGTAGGCCTTACCTTGGCTATATGGTCACCTAATATGGTTTCTTCAAACTCTTCTCCCAGTTTGAAAGAGATCTCGTTGTTTTTAAAAATGCTTTTGGTTTTTATCGTGATCACATCTCCATTTGTACTGATGGTCACAGTAGGTTTTGCCAGACATCCCAGTTTTCTACTGGCTCTTCTTATTCCTGGAAATCAGATGAAAGGACTTATAGTTACACTGTTTCCTCCAACAGCTAGTATTATTCATGTACTATTTTGCTAACTTGGAGGTTTGCGAGTCAAACAGATTTAACACTGCATGAATTCAATGAATTCAAATATCTAAAGCTAGTGGCTCACTATTATATGTTAAAGTAGATTATTTAATACAAGAAAAATAAATCTGGTTTTTGTTTAGTAATTATCCTGTTTCTCTAGTCCAGCAGTTACTAATATTGTTCATTCATGGACTCCCTTTGAAAATCTGATTAAAGCTATAAATCACCTGTCTATTTTAAAAATAGACCTTTTCACAAACAAGTAAAATACTTTGATATGGATTCTTTACATCTGTAATTCCTCGCTTCCATTCTTTTTTTTTTTCTTCTCTTTATTTATTATTTTTTTTTTGAGAGGTTTTTCGCTATAGGGCGTGTGCGCTCACCAGACAGATAGAGAGAGACATAGAGACAGAAAGCGAGAAATCACCCCCCAGGGGGGATGGTCACGCCACAATCCCTTCTCCTCCATTCTCCTCTCGGGATCTTGGGCATGCACGCACACGCACCTGGCGTGAGTTTTTTAAGCCACCGGGTCCAGGACGCCAACGGCGGGCGACCACGGGGGAGGCCAGCGACATAGCCATTACACTAACTGCTAGTTCCCTCTGCTTCCATTCTTAAGGCACACATACATAGGGTTCGTTGTCTTGATTCTGTATTTTTTATTGTGGTAAAAGGCACAAAACATAAATTTACCATTTCAAGCATTTTGGGGTGTACCATTAATTACACCACCCTGCTGCGCGACCCTCACCACTGTATACAATCATGTGCTACATAAAGACATTTTGATCAAGAACAGAGTGCGTATGAGACAGTGGTCCTGGAAGATTATAAGAGAGCTCAAACTTCCCTACTGCATAGCGATGCCGTAGCTGTCCTAACGCCATAGTCCAGTGTATTGCTTATGCGATGCTGGTATGCTGACATAAACAGACCTACCGGCCATAAAGAAGTGTAGCACATCCAAGTCCGTCCAGTACAGAATACTTGATAATGGCAGTAATGACCATGTTACTGGTTTATATGCTTACAATTCCATAGTTTTAATCATTATTACAAAGTATATTCCTATTTGTGAAAAATGTTTGCTATAAAATAGTGTGCCATGTTACGCTGCCAGCCGCTTATATATCTTGTGTTCACTGTGTTTCTTGATGGCATCATTTTCTCTTGTGCTTGATTTCATTTTACCATATGTTGTTCGCCATGGCCCTCTCGCTGTCATGAACATAGAGGGAGAAGACAGTGATATTGATGATCTTGACTCTCTGTAGCCTAGGAAAATGTGTGTATTTTGTGTTTTCATTTTTAACAAAATAATTTAAAAAGTAAACATAGTATTAAGAAATTTAAAAAGAGAGAAAAAAACTTATGGAAAAAGGACATACAAAGAGAAAAGAAAATATTTTTCTACAGTTGTACATTGTGTTTGTGTTTGTAGGTAAGTGTGATTACAAAAGAGTCAAAAGTTTGAAAATTAAAAACTTTGTCAGCAAAAAAGTTACAATCAGCTAATTATTGTTGTAGAAAGAAAAATGTTTCATAAACTTAGTGTAGCCCAAGTGGACAGCATTTATAAGGTCTACGGGAGTGTACAGTGATGTCCTAGGCCTTCACATTCACCCACCACGCCCTTGCTGACTCACCCAGAGCAACTTTCAGTCCTGCACGATTCGCTCATGGTAAGTTCTCTATATGGGCATCCCACTTTCAGTCTTTTATACCATATATTTACTGTACCTTTTCTATATTAAGGTACACAAATACTTCACACTGTGTTACCATTGCCTACAGTATTCAGCATTGAGTACTGGTTTGGAACCTACAACCAATAAGCTATATCATATAGCGCAGGTGCATAGCAGGCTCTACCATCAAGGTAAGTGTAAGTACATCTGTGATTGCACAACGTCAAAACTGCCTAAAAACACATTTCTCCAGACATAGCCTTGTCATTACATGACATTCATATAAGGTTTTTAAAAATATAACTAGTAAAAACCTCTCCAAAAAACAAAATAAGAACAAAATGTAACTAGTATATCTATCGTTACTCAGCTTGGTTTTTCCCCTTAGCTGTGTGTCTTAGAGATATTTTCCATTTCAGTACAAGTACATTGTTTTTATAGCCATATAATATTCCATCCTATATATGTACCAAAATGTATTTTACCTCTCTGTTGAGGAGCAATGAGTTTGTTTCCATTTGCTTATTATAAATAATTCTGCTGTGAACATCTTTTTACCCACAGCTTTGTGCAGTACACGTAGAGGTATTTTCAATAGAAACAGCATTACACACACAGCAATTCCTAAGTTAAATTTCGAAGAGAAGGTATATCAGAGAAATACTATTCTATGGTTTGTGGAATTTGTGTTGTGAAACATGATCACAGATAGGACAGATTGGACAATGGTCCCCAAAGATTTTCATGTCCTAATCTCTGGAATCCAAGAATTTTACTTTATATGCCAAAGAGAACTTTGCAGGTGTGACTAGTTTAAGGATTTCAAGATGGGGAGATTATCCTGAATTATTTACATTGGGAGTGGATCCTAAATGTAATCACAAATTTTCTTATAGTAGAGAGAAGAAATGTCAGGTTACAAAAAAAGGCGATGGCAGTATGAAAATAGAAGCTGAGATTGGCGTGTTGGGCAGTCATGTACCAAATAATGCCAGCAGCCACCAGGAACTAGAAACCAAGACCTATGCTGAAGATAAGAGCAAATGTTGATTTTTTAAAAATCACTTTATAAAAATAACATTTTTGTTCAAAATCATTTATTAAAATCATTTACTATTTAATGTATGGTACTTGCATGTTTTGTTTATGTAAATCCAAATTGCATGAAGGATTATGTCAATTCTAACCGAGTTTTGCACAGAATTGTACCATATATATATATATATAATGAGGAGGTCCAGGGTCAGGTGGCATGGAGGTTGTTAAGACAGCTGGATTCTACATGGCCAACTGTGAGGCAGTAGTTCCAAATTCAGTGACTTGAAAACCCCACTAAGCATGTGTGTGTGTGTGCAAGTCCAAAATCCCAAGAGGAGAATGATAGAGAAGAGATGAAGTTGTGGCCATCCCCCCCACCGGGGGAGGGGTGGTGGTGATTTATCATTCTCTCTCTTTCTTTCTCTAGAGAGTATGTGCACCTTATAGCAAAACTAAAAATGAAAAGAAGGATCCAGATCAATCTTATTTTATACAGAACAAGTTCTGTGCTATGAAAATGCCCATTTTTACTGGATATGATATGCAAGTATACACAGCTCACCCAGTTCTTTCATGTATTCTTCGAAATTTTCACAAGAAATGGATTTCCATGTTCCTTGGAGTGAATCAACCATTCTGTCTGAGAGAAGTTGACCTCAAAGAAAAGTAGCTTCATGTGAGTGTATGTCGGAGTTCCCTGAAATAGTACTGGAACCTGTTCTTAAGGGAGAGGGTGGAATGAAAAAAATCAGGGGGAAAAGTTAGAAGTTCTAATTGTTATGATTTTCCCTTAATACCATCTAAAGCAACAAAGCTCTCTTGAATATAAATAAGTCAGGATGAAAATGGAAACATGGCAGCATCTTTAGGAGGACTATAGACAACTTTTCCATCACTAATTTGGGATCAGAACTAGACATTACTTTGCATTCTTGAGACCTGTGACACATGGATCAATATACAAAAGGACTTCATGGAGTTTATTTTGGTACAAAAAAATTGTATAAAATCTATGCATAGTTTATTCATAATATGCATTTTCCATTAACTTTTAAAAATGTATTTATTTGTTTTGAGAAGTTTTTTTAGCTATAGGGTGCATGCACTCACCAAAGAGACAGAAAGCAAGAAATCGCCCCCCAGGGGGTTTGGCCATGCAGCAATCCTTTCTCCTCCATTCTCCTCTCAGGATTAGGGGCACTTAGACACATGCACCCACTGTGAGTTACAAAAACCAGGTATGGGACTCAAACCATGGTCACCTATGTGGGAGTCCAGTGTATTAACCACCTGCCAACCCCTCCATTAACTTTTCGAAGACTTTTTTTTTCTTTTTTGGAGAGTTTTGTTTGTTTGTTTGTTTGGTTTGGTTTTTCTTTTTGTTTTTTTTTTGTTTTTTTTTTTTTTTTTTTTTTTTAGGGGGGTGTGCTTGCCCGGCAGGCATTTTGTGTTCTTACGTTACCAAGATTTCATTCAGTTTACAGAACTTTGAACCTATTCTCTGAGTATTTCTCTCATAGAAAATATGTTGGCTTTGATAAGTCAGTAACTCTTTTTCAATTTTTTTAACTTTCTTTTTCAATTTTTTTCTAAAAGTCTTTGGCTTATATTCCTTAGGTATTTATCTCTTCACATGTGTGGCTGATCTTTTCACAGCCCTAGGAAAGATTCTTCTCTATCTATAATATATAGAGCAAATTCACTCTAAATTGGATATTCTGTGAAAATGGATTTCATTTCTTTCATTCATTTCAGAAAGGACTTGAAGTTTCCATGGATGTTTATGCCTCTGTGTGTGTGTGTGTGTGTGTTTTAATTTCTTTTTGTTTGTTTGTTTTTTTTTTTTTTTTTGCTATAGGGTGCGTGTGCTTGCCAGAGAGACAGACAGAGACAGAGAGACAGAAAGCTAGAAATAACCCCCCAGAGGAGATGGCCACACCACAGTCCCTTCTCCTCCACTTTCCTCTCAGAATCTAGGGCATGCACTCACACGTGCCAGGTGTGAGTTTAAGCCACCAGGTCTAGGACTCGAACCGTGGTCATGGGAGTCCAGCGACATAGTCATTACACCAACTGCTGGTCCCCATTGATAATATTTGACAATTGAATTAAAAAGTTTAGTGATGGCTAAAAGAATCATTTGAAGCCACATGTATACTAAGCAAGAAAATGAACAGAAAAAAGAAAGATATGGCATTACATGACATGCACACATACATACGGCCTTGTTACTGATAGTTTTTCATGTGCAAGCTTAATTTCCCATAAGCTTAGAAAGTCACTATTGCCAGAACACCAAATCTCTTCTTGGTGAATCCTCCTTAATTTAAGCTAATGTTTGTTCCTTGCAACCTTGACTGTGACTTTGATGTTCACTGATATCTGTAAGAAATCAAGAAGAGACAAAAAACATAACAGCAAATATACCAAGTAAAGAAGACCCTTCAAATGTTAAGGAATAGCACACCCATACACATGCCATCAGCTCCTGGGGACATTGTTGTTAATTTTAAGATAGGCTTGATGTCCATATGCTGACACGGAGTTACTAAGAGAAACTGAAGTTAGAAAATCCTTTCAAGACAAGGAGGGAATATGGTATTTTATGATAATTCCCATCCAAATGTTAAATTTTGATAGTATATATAAAGACAATTAACCAGGCAAATCGTCTTACTGATAATTCTTCACCTAACATTAATGGAGCAACTAGTATTACACACCAAATATGAGATTAAGAAATTTTGCACACTCTGTTGATCTAATGTTCCAGCTATGGTTGCTAAAGATACCATAGTTTATTTGTTGGTTTTCTCTTCAGGAGTTAGGCAATTGAGCTTTATGGTTTTTTGTTTGGTTGGTTGGTTCTACATTAATGTGTACAACTTAGAAGATTATGCCAGCTCAAGGTGAATAATGGTGAAGCCAGGAAACGACACACCACTGAGAGTACCGGAGCAGTGCAATCGGGCACTTGAAGATACTAAACTTTTTAGGATTTTTCAAGAAAATGCTCAATGTGTTACTATGTACATTGTATGCACACTGATCCTTCATCACAAGGAAAAGTCGCTGATTAAAAATGACCTTTTTGAAGATGTCATATTGGGAGCGATGTTGGTCTATGTTGCTGGCAAGTTAGCTTTGCAGAGTCATCAGCTGCTAAATGATAAAAGGCCCTGTGTGACTTCTATCTCTGCCACTGTGGCTCCCTCATTCATGTGTGCATTGTGTCAGTTCAAAGACTGCCCAATGTCACCTGGTCTTGTCATTTTGTCTGTGTGGCTGCTCAGTGCCTCGTCTGTGATGAACGTTTCCGGGTGTCCATTTAGTATACGAGCTGAAACTCTCCCCACATCATGCCCACTCTGCCCACCCATATTCTCCTATGTCAAACATCCTGGTCTGCAATGTTTCAGTTCTTTTCCTTTTCAGACTCTGATTACCTGTCAGACTATCCGCCTCTCCCCATGAGTCTGTACATATTCTCATCTCAAGTCATTACTCGCTCCCCTCAAACTGGATAATAGGTGAATCGCTCTGAGCTTCATCTTTTAAGGTGATTTCCCCTTACCAGTTTCTCAAACTCCTTCCCATCCTAAGAGAAATAAAACCACTTCCCCTTTTCAGTTTGGCCCCATACACTGAGATAACTGACCCATGAAATGCAAATAGCTTTCCCTCTTCCTTCTGCTGATCACACGGGACCTCCAGGTGATCCTTGACCTGATCTGAGGGAGGTTTCCTGGAGCAGCCATTGAGAGAACATGGGCTTCTGAAGTACCTGCTCACGCAGTTATGTAATGACTTCGGCTCCTCTTCAGACCTGACCCCAGATACGCAACTTCCATTTTATGATGGATCTGCATGAGTTTATGACTCTGTGGGTCTGACAGAACCCACCTCATAATGGCCAGTTCTGAATACCTTGTTACTTGGTGTTCTACAGGTAAGAATTCTGGTCCCAGTAACACATGCCTTTTCCATACAAGTTTCTGTTTCAGAAGGTGTGGCATTGCTCCAGACCCCAGAGCTCTGTGCTGTGGTGCTCCCATTCATACATATCATTCTGCATCTTTCCCTGTCACAATATCTTCAACACCATAGGTCTTGCTAGTCACATAACCTAAGCATCAGGGTAGCTTATACTGTAGCTTTTTATTTTTTGGAAAGGTTGCCCTTGCATTCCCTTGACCAAGCTGGAGCCCCAGAAACTTGATAAGAATGGAAGGTCCATCAATCATCACCTGCTTTAACTCATACTCTATTACATATGTCTTTTCTTTTTAGAGAGAGATTTTTGCTATAGAGCATGTGTATTTGCTGGAGATACAGAGATACAGAGAAAAAGTGAGAAATCATCCCCCAAGGGGAATGGCCACACCACAATCTGTTCTCAATTATTTTCTTGGCATCTGAGTATGCATGCACACAATCCCAGCATGAATTTCAAGTCACTAGGTACAGGACTCAGCCCACAGTTGTCCATGTGGGAGTCCAGCACCATGATCACTACGCCACCTGCTGGCCCTATGTCTTAACTAGCCACTTCTTGTTCATTCTGCCTGACCACCACGGTGTTATGCCAGATGTTCAGAGAGCCTAGATTTCATTTGGTTATATTATGACAGAGGGCAGGAGTTAATAAAAGCCCAGGATAAACTATAAATATATTCAGTATTGTTGTCTGTTTCATGTAAATGCAAATAGCTTTGGATCCAGTTGTCTGATATTTCCTGATTGGAATAGAAAAGAATGCCAAATCATGCCTGCATACCATACTCTGGAGGTAGTATTAATTTGCATTAACAACACATCTAGCACAGTAACTAACACAATAATTGGGGTTATTAGTAGAGTTTTCAGTAGTCTGCATTCATTGTCCAAGATTCATTTGGTTTTTGCATGGCAGATTGGTGAATTTTAAATGAAGCTATGTTATGACCCACCATCCCCTGCATCCTTAAGATACTTCAGCATAGCACTAATTTCTACCTTCTTCCACACCACCACTACCAAATATAATATATATATGTTTTTTTGTTCCACCACCTCTGGAAAGGGAGTGGAGTAGAGGGGGTAGAATTGTGGGGATGCAGTTTTAGAAAATTCCACTTTGCCTTCCCCATTGTGATAGCTCTCACTTGGTCAGAATGAGAAGAATAAGGTTAAAGATTACTTCAACAGCCAAGTCTGTCGATCCCAATTTTACCTTCAGGGCCTGGGGAAATGACCACTGGATGAGCCCACAAACTTACGGGGCCTACGGAGAGCTATGCTTTGGATAAGATTCTGTTACTTTTCTGACCATTGTATGCTTTCACTCTAACCTGATACTTTGGAACTCTATGAATCAATGTTAACTCAAACCACATGCCTTCAAATATGTGGATACCCCCCTTTACAATTGCATATTTCCTCAAGCAAATTACAAAACGTCTTTTGAGGAAAGTGGGGGAAGTTAACACAGTATATTTTTGTCTTGGTATTTCAGGTTTTGTTTTTTTTTTTCTTGTAGCCAGTCATTTCTTTAGTCAATGGTTTCTGGTTCTGAAGACTGACTTAGATCTGGGATCTGAGCCAAGGGTCGTAATCTTCTATTAGTGTGACCGTTCCTAGCCTGCTGCTGATCTATTCTTGCCTTCTTTTGACTGTATATGTTAAGAAACACCCTTGTTAGCTAGCCATCTATTTTGCCTCTATGGACTGACTCTATGTACTTTTAAAGATTTCCAAAGCCCTTAAGGTCAAACCCCCTTAGTTGTGCCTTTAACCTTGGGATTGATAATGGCAATCCCCTGGCTTCTGACACAAGGTGCTGTGATCTGACCTGATTTGCTTTTGCTTTTCTTCTCCATTGCTGCCAATAAGTCAAACTCCATGACAACCAAGAAGAGCAACCACTGAAACACTTAGTGATGCTGTGGCCCCTCTCATTAGGATATTCCTATGACCTGGTAAATGGTATGTCTTCTGGGTTCTCTTGTTGAATTTCATCATAGGATTGCTTTTCTGTTAACACACACAGATTTATATATATATATAATATATATTTTCTGTTTGTGTTAACAGAATTTTATATATATTATATATATAATATATTTTATATAATATAATATATATTATATATATATTTTATATTATA